AGCACCGTAGTAAGAATTGAAACTTGAAAGGTGATAAAATGGTTCTGATTGCTTACCACCTGCTTGAAAGTAGCATATGTGCTTACATAGAATGGTTAGTTAATGAACTAATGATGACTGCTAATAAACCTTAATATTAGAACGCACATGTCGTTGTTTTCTGCATCGGGGTCCTCAACCAACCAATTGAATTTGAACTGCTGTGCCCCTAATCCCGGATGGTGATGCAAAGAGACACAAGGTTTATACTGGTTTAGCCAATCGGTGCCCCACGTCGGCCCGAGAGATCGATCTTGTATTCCTTTAACCGAGGTGCTTGTAGTAGGGGGTTACATGTGGGCGAGAGAGGAGCTAGTCTCGTGTCTCAACGTGGTGCGGTGCGGGCTGCTTGAGGCGTTGTTCTCGTGCAATGGGGGAGCGTGTGTTATAGAGTGTCGCTTGCTGGCGTGTGAGAGCGTGGTTCTTTCAGATGTTTTCTCCCTCTCCTAGAGCTATCCCTGGTCGCTTCTTTTATAGCCACAATGAGGGAGCCAGGAGTACATGAGTGAGCTACACGTGGAGCCTATTGTAGTCCAAATCCTATAGCAAACATGGTTGGGAATGGCGATCGGTACTTGATTGGCGCGCGCCGTCTGCCAAGAGCCGAGGTTGTTGAGGTCGTGGGAGTCCTTGTTGACGTCTAGTCGATTATGACCTCCATGTAGGAGACATCTTTGTGCCTTGTGAATTCTTGACTTGGGGGAGTGCCGAGGCCTGGCGGGTGCTATAGCTGATCATGCCGAGGCCTGCTTTGCCGAGGCCTCGGAGGTGACCCGTGTATGATGCGGGGTCTTGGTGGTCAGTCGTCATCCGGTTTAGGTGGAAAAGTGCGAGCGTGTGTCCACAGTGGCACAGTAACCCCCGCACCGTTAGTAGGGGATGGTAAAAAAGAGATTTGACCGCTGTCCCATCGCCTCTATTTGCACTCTCGCCATCGTGGGTGGCGTAGTAGGTGTGACCAAGCGCACTTAAATGGATGGGACCTGGCTTGCCGAGGGACGGTTGAGGCGGAGGCGACGAGGATGCAGATGAGCCTGGCCTCGGTTGAGGCAAGAGAAGGAATAATACGTCCGAGGCCTTGTCGGGGGTCTCTTGGACGAGGCGGAGGATGAGCAGATTGGTCTTTCATGCTGATTCCAAGACTACGAGGGACCCAGACTTGACCCTCCACGCCGCTTTGTCCTTGGCGCAGGAGTTAGGTAGCACAGGCAATGACGGGTGTCGATGGGGGCACGATGTTGAGCACGATGGCGGGTAAACCCCGCTGCGCCGGTCCCCCGTCTCCGTCGGTCACTCTACCATCTTCGCGCCAACGTGCGGCCGACGTTATAGGGAGTAGTTAGGCGATTAACCGGACGTGACGCGTTTTGTCGAGAGAGTCGGTCGGGACAGAGGTGACGAGGTTGTTGCCGAGCCTAGCCTCGGGCGAATCGGAGAATTAGTAACCCGTCCGAGGCCTATGGGCGGGGCCTCGGCGAGAGAGGGCCTCGGCAAGAGGGGCCTCGGCGGGGCAGAGAGTTTTGGCCTTTCGTCTGAGGCCTCGGCGCAAGCCTCGGGCGAATCGGAGAATCTACCGAGACCTCGTGGTTGTCCTTTGGCTTTGATTTTTGCAAGGCTTAAGCAATATTTTCGGTTCTTGCTTAGGGTACCCCTTCTTGTGGTATCCGACAGCACGTTTAGTAACGCTTCCGTAGATGCAATAACCCACAAGCCAAATAAGCCTTGCATATCCTTGGAGTCTTCTATTTTTTCTCCTGTCGGGTAAGTCTTACTGAGTACAATCGAAAGTACTTAGGGTTTTATTCCCCTGTTGCAATTGATCGGAGGATACTTAGAGCTGACTCTTGTGTGGGAAAACCTCCTGGTGGACTCAGCGGGGATTCCTTTCGTGCTACGACCGTAGTGTTTATTTATAACCCTCACGAAAGGTTTTTATAAGAAAATATGAAAAATCAGTTAGCATCTCTTGTATATAAATGTCCACTATGTTAATGCTCCATCATGTCCATAAATTAATCCTGCTTCCTTTGTAACTCGATAACATTGTTATATTGTCTTTGTTATAATAAATTGAGGTAATATTCTAGTACTGTAATAAAGTGGTGTAAGAAATGACTTAATAATGTTGTAAGATGTATTCTCTTATTTATGATCCTGATAGAAAATGTGGATTTTTGAGTTCTCCCTTGGGGTGTGCTCGATGGAACTACGTAGTTTGGTGTCCTCTCTTGGGTACTTAGTGTCTAATGGAAGACAAGTACTCCTGGAAGGCAATAGATTAGGCGCTCTCTGCCACACTTTTATTTTTCTCTTGTCGAGTAAGTCTTGCTTTGAGTACAATCAAGTACTCAGGGTTTTATTCGCCCTGTTGCAGGTGATCGGAGGATACTTAGAGCTGTCTCTTTTGTGTGGAAACCTCCTGGTGGGCTCAGAGAGGATTCCTTTCACGCTACGACCATAGTGTTTATTTATAACCTCACTAAAGGTTTTTATAAGAAAAGATGTAAAATCTGCTAGCATCTCTTGTATAAAAATATCCACTATGTTAATGCTCTACCATGTCATTAAATTAATCTTTGCTTCTCTGTAACTCTGATAATATTGTTATATTCCGCTGTTATAATCAATTGAGGTAATTATCTAGTACTGTAATAAAGTGATGTAAGAAATGACTTCAAAATGTTGTAAGCTTTATTCTCTCATTTATGATCCTAATGGAAAAATGTTGATTTTCGAGTTCTCCCTTGGGGTGTGCTCTATAGAACTACATAGTTTAGTGTCTTCTCTTGAGTACTTAGTGTCTAATGAAAGAGAAGTACTTCTGGGATGCATTAGATTAGACAGTTCTGCCACAGTTTGGAGACACCAACTTATCCGCACCCACCAGAATGTTAGTTTTTTAGCTATACATGATTGCTTGGATACTTGCTGTGATATGTGTGTAAGTAATGGTGGAGATATATGTTGGTTTACAGGAAAGTACTATCTGGTCGACTCGGGATATGCCGTGAAAAAAGGATATTTGGGCCCTTATTGAAATGCAAGTTACCATCTTGCTGAGTTCAGGGATAGCGTAGCTCCTACAGGGTATGAGGAGCAATTTAACTTCTGCCATTCAAGTCTGCGCAATGTCATCGAACGGGCATTTGGGCGACTCAAAGGCAAGTGGCACATTCTCGGCCTAATTCCGTATTTTGAGAGAGTGAAGCAAACAAAGCTTATCATTGCATGCTTTGCGCTGCACAATTGGGAGTTGGAACACGGCGAAGGAAGGGCTTCACAGAGGATCTGGCAAAGAGAAGCAGATTACTACGCCGACGCATGGGTGGCAGCAAAATTGTAGCCCAACGACCAGCCTTTGCTCTCCCTTTTCTTTTTGGAAAAAAATATCTCTTTTTTTTTATCTCACTGAACTGTCGCGGTGCCTTATTCCTCCTTGAACTTTAAAATTGAACATCTTATCCCCCTTAACTCCTAAAATCATTGAAGTTATATCCCTGTGCTGAAATGGTTTCAGGTGGTTTCGTAGTTTTTTTTTAAATGGGTGAACATCTGATCTAAAAATGTCTAAGATCTAAAATGGCTATAGAAATAGAATGGGACACTACAGGCTCGAATAAAATACTTGAAGGTTATGAAAGTAAAAGCTTCTAAAGATGAGACGCTCCGGGGGGGGGGGGGTTGGGGCTGATACTTTTTTTTTGATATTTTGTTTTTGAATTTTATTGGCGGATGATGTTAGAAAGGTAACTAGAAAAATTGTAGTGTGTTAAATAATGTCAATCTGTCTCCAAAGAACATACGATAGAGTATATCCCGAAAAAGACGATTAGGTGATTCCCAGGCGGCAGTGAACCCCAACCTTTGGTTTCACTTCGTTCATCCGATTTCAGTGATGGAGAAAAGTTTGATGATCTCGTGGGGGACCTTCCATTTGCAGGAGATGCTGGCTGGCATCGCTTCCACGATCGCGTCATGTACTACTCGCGGGCGGGCGTTCTAGCCTCAAGACGCCCTAGCGCCCATGGGCGTAGGGAGTACGCCGTCTCGCAAAGCATCCGCGTCAGGGGCTTTCCTGGTGCGCAGTCGAAGGGGTACGCGGGAAGGGAGGGATGGGACGAAGCGTACCAGAGAAGGCAGTTATTCCTTGTACGTGTGTAGGGGCGCAGGCCGGCAGGAGGCGATGATAGGACGGGAGAACAAAACCGGTGTGGGTACATGCGGGCGGGTAAGAAAGCGCGGACGGTGAAAAAAAAACGTCGAGCATGAGCCCTCTACAATGCAAAACACGCTTGTTTCGTATGTTCCTGTCGTCCTTCTATTGTGGGTCCACCTATCAATCTGAGGTGTGTAGGAAGTTTTTCCGGTGACGATAGATTTTCAATTCCTTCGCTCCTTTATAGTATAGATTAGGTATAGATATAGTCCAGTTGATACATGTCCTAGTAGGACTTCATACATGATTGAGTAGGACTCTACATCTACTTGGAGTAAGATACTATTTCTAAACCTATTGTATCTTTAGAACTTTGTCTCTATTCAGAACCATATCTATATATACTTCTATAACAAGGATCATATCTGAAATTAATAAGAACATAATTTCCTTATAGAAGAAGTAAAGCGATCCATCTTTTCTTGTAACAACCGTACACAACATATCTGAAATTAATAAGAACATAATTTCCTTATAGAAGAAGTAAAGCGATCCATCTTTTCTTGTAACAACCGCACACACCACAAGGTTCACGCTTATCATACCAGACTAGAGTAGCCCATGTGCCTCCTGACTATACGTGACGTATGGATGCAAAACACCAAACCTAATGATCGATACAGAACTAGATCCATGATTCCATGCAAACACAAGTTGTACAATCTTTATTTTTCGATGATGGAAAGTAATCTCTAGATCGAACACAGTGCCATCGATCTAAGATGATGGTGAGAACGATTCTTAATTAACCTCGACCGAGGAGTGAGGAGTCCCCAAAGGTGAGCCCAGAATCTCGGGTGGCCTCCTCAACAATATTATCCAGCCTCGCCGCCATGTCCATGGTCATGTAGTTTTTCCAGTCGCCGACCTGCCCCTTCCTGAAGAATGACTCACTCTTGATGCCCAGCCGCGTACTCCCGTTCTTGTTGACGTCCTTGCTCTTGAGATTCTCCAAGCTGCACAGCTCCACGATCTGATCCACCACCCCATCCTCCTCGTCCTCCTCAGAGAAGGTGCACCCCATGAACGCTGCTAGCTTCTTGAGGTTACCCACCGGATCTCCCAGCATGTCTTCGTACCTGAGGAACAGCACCTGGTCCGGCCTCCTCTGGCTCGCGTGCCAGTATTCTAGGGCATGCAGCCAGTGTGGCCCTCCGGGGAACCGTCCCTCACAGAAGAGCTCAAAAACCTCCTCGAATTTGGTCACGCCTGCAGAGTCCTGGCCGTCGCCGTCGCCACCGGCAGTGGCGGCTGCCGTCGCTGCCACCTTCTTGTAGAAGTTCCAGTAGGAGATGAGCACGTCCTTGGGATCCCGGCATACGTACACGATCCGGCACCGGGAACCCTCCTCCGTGATGGCATGGGGAAGCTGGGAGTAGGGAAGGTGTGTTGCAAACAGCCGTGGAGAAGAAGGGAGGGCCTCATACAAACCCCTTGCACCGGCGGCGTCGTGCTGCTGCTGCTGCTGCTGCTGGATGATCCTGAACTCCAGGAAGCCGACACAGTCGTGCGGGTTCCGGTGGTTGAGCGGGTGTTGGCCGTCGGACGGCGAGTGTGTGGCACGGTTGAGCGTCGCGAAGGCAAGGGCCTTGAGCCAGGTGGTGCCGGACTTGGGTAAGCTGGCGAGGAAGATGTCCGATGCTTCTGGCTCGAAGCATGTGCCAGCGGCAGCCATGCCCTTGAGTAGGAACTCAGCTTGCCAGAAGCCTCCATACTGCCGACGGCGCACCAAGAGCCGCGTCTCCAGGGGGAGCGAGTCAATTATCTCAGCTGCAGGTACGTTGTTGGCGTACAGGCTCGGGTTCCTATGCTTCCTCGTCGAGGGAGCTGCTGTTGCTTCCGATGATGCAGGTGCAGTAGCCACTTCTTCACCGTCGGCTGCGGGGACGGCTGCAGGGGAGCAGCAGTGCTCATGGTGCCCTGTGTTTCGCATAAGCGTTTACATGCATCAGAACATCCTTCAGTGTCGACAGAAGGCTAAGCTAAGGGATTGCATGCCAAAACTCACCAGAATGTCCTCCAGATCGAGTTGTTGTTGCTCCTCGCCCCTGTTCATGATGCACAACGCCGGCCCCCAACCACTACCACAAACACTTTGAGTATGCCGCCAACCTGCAGTACCAATAATTAAGTGCCCATTAGGAGTTGTTTTGTGGGACAACGGTTGGGGCTTTGGCATCCTGACATTATTGGTGAAGCTTGTTCTATCTCTATATACAAGGGTGCAGCAGATGTTCTAGAAGTTGTCACAGAGACCAACGTGGACTCAAAAAGACTCTGGCACCCCTACAGGAATCTTGCACCTGCATGCAGCTTGGGAGCAGCGCTCCGGCTGGGAGGCCTCCCACACCATCTGAGGCCGCGTTTAGAGGCCACCTCAGCCAAAAACCTGATAGCAGCAGGTTTTGGCCAAAAATCTGAGATCCAAAATTTTTTAGGTTTGTTGTTTAGTTGCCAAAAAATTTTGGCTGCCATTCCCAAAACCTGGCAGCTGCACCATTAACAATTGCATGCATGCAGCCAATGCATGCTGACACATGCATGCAGCCAATGCATGCTGAAGCTTCAAATGCATGCATGCTGTTGCCAACAGCATGCATGTTTGATCCAAATAACACAACAGATGTAATTAACAATTAATCATGCATGATTCATCCCCAAAACTGTACTGACGCAACTATACATATGCAGTACACATACATGACCTCAAACACATAAAACTGTCAAGAACGGTTTAGCAAAGCATAAGCAATCGAATCACGAAATTCATTCATCAGATCAGACTCATCCTCAACTTCCTCGGGGTCAGGCTGATTCTCAGACGCTTCTCGTGGCACATAGTTATCATCACGATCACACCTTGCAAAGTGTCTATCCCCTATGCCACTTATCCTAATGAAATTATGTAGAGCACAACATGCAACTATGATTTGGCTTTGTTTATGGGGTGCATAAGAAGGGATCTGATGCAAGATGCGCCACCTCATTTTCAAAACTCCAAATGACCTTTCAATGACATTCCGAAGACATGAATGTGCATAATTGAAGGTCTCCTCTTTACCTTGGGGTTCTAGGGCATCTCGATACTCCTGCAGATGGTACTTAGTTCCCTTGTAAGGAGCAAGGTAACATAGCCGGTTAGGGTACCCAGAGTCCACAAGGTAATATTTCCCTACATGAGCAAAAAAATATTTTACATTCATGTAGTTGAACAACAAGGACCCAAATATGCTATCTGATATGTGTGTACCTGCAGGTGGATGTGGAAAAACATGGCTGTATGTTATTGTTGCATCATTGAATACTCTCATGTCATGTACAGACCCCCGGCCAACCAGCAAGAACAAATGTAAATCTCATGTCAAAGTCACAGACATCCATGACATTTTGTGTAGTCATGCCCTTGCGGCACAAGTGCTGCACAAACTTATCATTGGGCACCACACAAGGTACATGAGTCCCATCTATACCCCCTATGCAGTCCTTGAAGTAGGGATAGAACCTAGGATTTCTCAGTCTAGGATGCATTGTTCTAAATTGTGGGTCGATAGGCTTAATAATGTCAGCAGCAAGCTTCACCATACACTTCAAAACTTTGTTTAACATGTTGGAGACAGTCCCTAGTGACCTCTCAAATCTGTCCTCAGCTTGCCTAAAAGATTGTGGTGCCCCAAGCATCCAAAGAAACATCCCTATAGCCTCAACCGAGGTGGACTTAGCACTAGATTTCAGGCCATATGATTGTACTAAAAGATCATGCAAAGTTGTATGGAACATAGGTGGGCTCATTCTAAACATGCTAAAACAGGCCTTGCTATCCCCAAGCTTCCTCTCAGACCCATTCCAAACCAGCCATGGCAGGTTGCCTATACTCAGCCCTATTCAAATGCTTGTCAATGTGTAGGGCATACTGGTACATACCATAGATAAAAGCATCATCATCTTCAGCATCCTCTAACTCAGCCATCATCATCTCTTGGAAAACATCCCAAGGGTCTACACAATGGGTTCTTTGCATCGATACAACATCACCTGTCCAAACAAACAAGGACTAAAGTCGGTCATGAATCACATTACAATTCATGTCATGCATGACTACGTTCATCGACATTTACCATTCCTCTCACCCATGCATCACATAGTTGAAATGGTCACCATACTTGAAGTTCACCAAACATTACTACATTTAAGTTGTTGAAATAAGAAACATCACAAACACAGTTGAAACACACATTCATGCGATCTGAGACTTAGTTCATATGACATAGGACATGGCCGACATTGTTTGAGGACACCATTACGACATGAACTTCAATTCATAGATGAAATAAGATAAGATGGTCTATGGGTCGACCAAGTAGTGACTTGCTCGATGATGATCATCCTTTCTTCGTGGCTGTTAGCAAGGAAGAAGTCCATATCACTTTCATTGTGGATGATCTTGTATAGGCCCACGAACAATGTTGGAGTCTGTGCACTTATACCCATCTCCCTTGCTATCTGGGTGACCCTGTCTATCTTCTCACTAAGGGCCGACCGTGAATTGTGGTCCTCTTGCTTCCTATGCTCAAACATGCTCTCCATCAGGCAGAGCCTACGGTTGGCAATTTCATTGTGTGTCCTCATGTTGTTGTCCATTGCCCTCAGTGCTGGGCTCTTGGACCTCTTAAGTAAATTTGGATGCGGTGGTGCTCGTCGTCTTCTTGGCCCTCTTGTTGCCAATGCTCAATGGGGTGATTTGGTCTTCCATTTCATCTCACGCCTCTTCATCAAAGCTTCCACCATCCAAATCAATAGTACCACTTTCACTGACAACAAAAGATGTGGAGCCATCTCATCGTGTTTCTAGTAAACATTTTGTCCATTTGATCTAAGTGCTCAGGCAAACCTTTCCTGAACTTCATCAAATCAGATTGCCCCTGCAATATGAAATCCTTTGTTATGCAATGTTTTACTTAGTAAGTGCTGAAACTCAAAAGAGATAGATAGATCATTTACGTTGGTATTTGCTTTCCACCATGCATCAGTGGCCTCAACAGTTCCATCGTCGCTACGGCCTAAGCCAGAGGCGTAGCGGAGCTTGTTACAGAATGCCCATTGAGCCTTGAGCTGCCTTAGCCTACCAGCAATCTGCTCCCTGTCATGGACCAAACCCTATTGCTGCTTGGTACCTCCTTATGAGGTCCCTCCACCTAGTCTTGCTCATGACTCCCTTGGTACAATTGCCAATGGCAATTTCATGGCACCATATGTCACAGAACTTCTTAGTGTTCGGTACAGTCCAGTTGGCCTTGTGTTTCATAGCCTAAACGATGCTTGTTTTAGTTCACGACATGTACAGAGATTAAACCATTTGGTAAACACTTAAGCTAGGTTAATCAATATCTACAACTGTTGTAGCTTAAATTTGTATCACAGAACACTCATAGCAAGAGCAACTAAATAATACATATAGCACCCTAGACACATGCATGTAACTCAGCAGATCTACTACGAAATAGAAGATCAAGGAGAAAGGGAGTGGAATTTGTCTTAGGGACTCATGGGCGTGAGTGTTGTCGCCCGATTGAAGTTGTCATCAAGAATGGCTGGCCCCGCCCGCTGTACATGCGCATCGCGGCCCTGCTGACGACGCCACTGCGCCCCCTGTGGAGGGAGACAGAGGAGGATGAAGCCACCTCCAACGGATGTTCCACCCATGCCGCCTCCAACGGATGTTCCTCCGCCCGGCGATGGCGATGTTAAACCGAGGTTGCGCAGCGCCTTTATTGGGAAGTCACGCGGATGGGGGTGGGAGCCATGGGGACCTCATTGTCCCCGAATGTAGCCCGCGTGAGGCCTACATCTCGGCGATCCTCGCGGCGTTGAGATCCGGCCGACTCCAACCCCGGCCGAGACCGGTTGAATCTGCTTGAACACGAGAAGGTTTTGCGCCGCGTCGGGGAAGAGGCCGCTATCATGGCATGGCCCGTGGATTACCGGGCGCCAGAAATCCTGCGCGCGCGTCGTTGCTGTGGCCGGCACCGTCGATGCCATGGTCGCCGTTGTAGCCGGTGCCGTTCATGTCGTCGCCGTCGTGTCCTTCCATCACCGAACGCGCGAAGGTGGTCCTCGATCCGGACTCCGACGGGGTGGATCTAGTGGTGTAGCTCGTGGATCTGTGGCGTTGAAATGGCGGGAGATCGTGGCGGTGGGAGGGAGTGACCCGGCGGCGTGGGGCTAGGGTTCGAGTGGATGAGAGTGAGGATAGAGGGCAAAGGTGTCGAGAGCGTGATGAATGGATAAGGGGTGGGTAAGTGGGTACCAGCGTCCTTCACGCCTCCCAAACCCGCCTGAGTGCGGGCCGAACACCCCTCCATGCCAAACGAAGACTAGGCCAAAATATTTTGGCTGCCGTTTAGTTCCAAAAAGCCCAAAGCCAAAAATTTTTGGACTGGGCCAAAATTTTTTGCAATCTAAACGGGGCCTGATTCTTTTCATTTTTTGTTGGTATAGTGGATGACAGGAGGTGATGGATGGACCAGTGCTGTACTCTGGTATAGGAGCTAGAAGCTAAAACATCTTCCTTTCTGATATATTTTTTGAATGCTACGATGACCTATATCTTGGGGACGGAGAAGCCCGTTAGACAAAATCACAAATCCGATAAAAATATGACCGTGTTGGCACAAAGACAATTAACAATTTACATTTGTTTATATAGTTTGGCAATGACAAAATTTTAATATGTTATGATACAAAGACAAATAACAATCAACCTATACTAGTTGGTTGTACCAAATTGTTGCCTAAAATCATCTTTAAATTCAGGCATCTGAAATATAGAAGTGATAATAAAGTTGTTCCGTTAGTTGAGGACAAAATTTGGAATTTGAGCGGAAGAAAACACCCACAGTCCCAATAAATACGTAAACAGAGGTCATAGAAGCAGAACAAACACATAATTGTACAAGTAGAACTGGGCATAGCAAACTCCGAGAAAAATACAAGCATGGAGACAAAACAAAATCTTAAGTAGCGGGCATACAATGTAATCACCAATGAGTATCATGAATGCATGGCAGCTGCTATAGGAGTTCTGGCCCTTGTGTTCATTAGCACAACAAGAATGTAGGACACTGAGCAATTATTGATGTGGGCGTGTTTACCTCTTATTGACCTAACAATAAAATCATGAGGCCAATCCCCAAATGTTTGTGTGATCATGTAACATCCTCTAGATTGACACACACACACACACACACACACACACACACACACACACACACACACACACACACACACACACACACACACACATATATATATATATATATATATATATATATATATATATATATATATATATATATATATATATATATATATATAACTCTGAGCATTATTTTCTTCTTCTTCGTAACTTTCTAATAAGAACTTATTATCCATCTCCCATTGCTCTTCTTCATTTGTAATGTATTCAATATTATTTATCTGCACAACTTCTTTAACTTTATGAGGCTCTTTAGATGATGAAGAGTTACACAATCTAGATAATGCAATGGAAGGGTTATAATATCTGAAAATATTAATAGTTCAATAGAAACAAAAATAGAATTAATGAATCAAGAAGACTGTGAGCATGATTGGATAAAAGGAAGAGGTGATTATAATATAAAATATGCTTTCTGCATATATTATCCTAGTCAGGAAAACAGATCCACATGCAGCATATGTTTAAAGCAAGCATGTTCCTCATGTTTAAGAACTAATAACCAAAAATGGAGACAGGAAGTAGAACTAGAATAACTAGAATAAGAAGATAAATTATTAGCAAGCAAGAGTCGTAAATCTAGAGAATAGAATAAATAGCTTAGAAGTAGAATTAGAAGAGCTAAATAGTAAAATAGAACTCAATGAAGCTAATAAGATAGAAGAAAATTATAAAGACCTTACTGAGTTAAAGGATCAAGCAATGGTAAATAAAAAAATGATAAAGCGTTACAATTAAAAGAAGCTATAATAAACTTTGGTAGCAAATATATAGTTAGATTACCATTTAAAGAGATTATAGGAATAAGAGTACCTGTAAAAGTAAAATTAACGCCTAACATATCTTATAAAATATTAGCATTAGTAGACACCGGTTGTACAAAAAATATTATACATGATAAATATTTTGTAAAATGTCTAGAAATAGTTCAAACAATAGATCATGATAAAGCAGAAATATCTACTGATATGTCTGGGATAAAAAAGGTTCATAATCAACTAGCTTATGGTGTTGAAGTACAAATAAATAACACAAAATATATAATGGATGAAATTACAATAAGAGATCTATCTATGATTCATGATGATATGATATTAGGATTAAGATTTTTACAATTCTCTTTACAAACAACTATCATACATGAGCAAGGTATAACATTTATTCCTTATCAAGACAACATTCCATATATAACAGAAGTACGAAAGACAATAAACTCTAATCCAGAAAAGACCAACCTAGAACTCCAAGGATTTGATGAAAAGGTCCCTGATAATCATATAGATGAAGACCTAGGTGAAAATATAGAAGATTTTCATATAGCAAACTCATGCATAGAATGTATCAGTCTGCAATCATTAGCACTAAATTGGTATAGAGATATAAAATCTAAAAAGAATATAGATAAAATTGTAAGAAGGTTGGAAGATATTTAGATAATCGGAGAAATACCAATGAAGCATTGGGATAAAAATGGTATAGTATGTAAGATTAACATAATAGATCCTGACTATATAATCAAGACAAGCCCTATAGAAGCAACACCTAAAGATATAGAAGAATTTAAGATGCATATCGAAGAATTACTAAAATTAGGAGCTATAAGAGAAAACTGAAGTCCTCATAGATCAGCTTCATTTATAGTAAGAAATCATGCTGAAATAGCTAGAGGAAACTCAAGAATGGTTATTAATTATAAAAGACTAAATGATAATACTATAGATAATGCTTATAATATCCCAAATAAGCAAGAATGGATAAATAGAATACAATGAAATAAATATTTCTCAAAATTTGATTTAAAAGCTAGGTTTTGGCAAGTAAAAATGGCAGAAGAATCAATAGAATGGACTGCTTTCACATGTCCTCAAGGCCATTTTGAATGGCTAGTAATGCCTTTAGGATTAAAAAATGCCCCTGCTCTATTTCAAAGAAAAATGCAAAATATTTTTAATAAAAAACAAGAATTCATATTAGTTTATATTGACGACTTATTAGTTTTCTCAAAATCCTATAAAGAGCATAGAGCTCATCTGGAAACCTTCTTTAGAAAGGTAGAACAGCATGGGTTATTATTGTCTAAAAGAAAAATAGAGATATGTAAGAAAAGGATAAATTTTTTAGTCATGAAATAGGAAAGGGAAAAATTTATTTACAAGATTATATTGCAAAGAAAATCTTAGAATTTTCAAATGTCATGAATGATAAGAAAACCTGCAAAACAATTCTTAGGAATAGTAAATTATGCTAGAAATTATATTGAAAATTTGGCTAAGCTTAGCTGGTCCATTGTATGCAAAATTAAGAAAAAACGGACAAAAACATTTTAATTCTGAAGATATAAAGTTAGTAAGAACTATTAAAGAAAAGGTAAAGATTTAAAACCCCT